TAATCAGTTTTGTTTATTTTATTTTTACTTTTTTCAGTTATAACTATTTTTATATTGTTTTATCTTTTAATTTAATTTAATTTAATTTTGTTTTTTATATTATTTTATTTAGTTATACGCTATTTTAATTTAACTTTTATTTTATTTTTTCCGATTAATTTTAATTTTTTTATTTAATTTTTTTTTATTATTATAATTTCTATTTTATTAATTTTTTTGTTTTAATTTATTCTGTTTTACATTATTTTATTTTTAGTTTATTTATTTTATTTTTTATTTCTTTTCTATTGATATTTTATTATTTCATTTAATTTACCTTTTTTTTTAATTCTACTTATTTTTTTTATTTTAATATTTATTTATTTCACTTTAAATAATTTTTTTTAATTAATTTTTTATATAAGGTGTATGCATTTGAGAGGGCTCTACTAGTATTATTTCGCGTCGTGTTCACCTTTGGCTATATTCTTTTCAAAGGTACTGTCATTTCACATTGATTCATTCATATGAAAATGTCGAAATTTGTACCAGATAAAGTGTTTTTGTGGGGAGTTCTTCTTTATAACTTTAACATGAAGAAAAGTGCTACCTTACTGGAATTTTATGGTGACCATGCTTTAGCCGAACGAATGCGCCAAAAGTGGTTTGCACGGTTCAAAATTTTAATTTAGACTTAGACGAAGGATTGTAGACATTGCTCGACGCAGATGCATGCCAGACGCAAGAAGAACTTGCAAAAATATTAGGAGTTTATTAAGCAACCGTTTCCAGATAGTTAAAATCCCCAAAGCGCAAGAGATCGTATGTGAACACCGGCCAACCATCGACATCCTCGGCAAAGCCAAATATCTATGGTGACAGGGTTATGCTATGCATTCGGTGGAGTACAAGGGTATGCTCCATTATGAGCTATTGAAATCGGGTCAGACGATCAAAGGGGACCACTACAGAAAACAATTGATTAACGACCAGAATATGCTACCAGACACGAATCAATAATTTTTCATCATTACAACGCTCGGTCACATGTTGCAAGGCCAGTTAAAAACTATTTGGAAAACTGGGTGGGAAGTTCTACCTCACCCGCCTTATAGCCCAGACATAAAACCTTCCGATTACCACTTGTTCAGGTTCAGATCAATGCAGAATGCCCTCACCGGAGTACGCTTCACTTCAGAACAGGGTATCAGAAATTGGCGCGATTCTTTCTTGACCTCCAAGCCGAATTATATTTTATTTTATTTTATTTATTTTAATTTTAATTTTAATTTTAATTTTAATTTTAATTTTAATTTTAATTTTAATTTTAATTTTAATTTTAATTTTAATTTTAATTTTAATTTTAATTTGGATTTTATTTTTAATTTTAATTTTAATTTTAATTTTGGTTTTGTTTTATTTTCTTCTACTTTTTCAATTTTTTTTTGTAAATTTATTTTGTTTAATTTTTTTTTTTATTTAATTATGTTTATTCTTATTTTAATTTAATTTTAAATTTATTATGATTTTTAAAATGAGAATATGGTCATGTTTCAATTTCTTTTGTTGTATTTTTATTATTTTTATTTTTTTTTAATTAAGTTTTTAATTAAATTAAAATAAATAAGTTAACTTTTTTTTTTGTTTTACATTATTTTGTTCACTGTATTTTATTTACTGTGATTAAAATTAAGTTTGCTTTATTTATTTTCAATTAATTTTTTTGGTTTACTTTATTTAGTCCAATATTTTTTTTTCATTTTATTTAATAAAATTAATTATTTATCGTATTTAATTTAAATTATTATAATTTTTTATGTTTATTTTATTTTTATTGTTATTTTATTTTAATTTGTCTATACACAAATTATATATGATTTAATTTTCAATTTTGCTTATATCATTTCGCTTCAGTTTGTTTTATATAATTTTTTTATTTAATTTTGCGTTATTTGATTTATATACAAGTAAACTTTTTGTTTTTGCTCTAGATCTGTATGTGCATATTACATGCGTTAATGTCAACTTAATTGCATAATTTGAAGTTATTCACACTCACACACACACAGTAATAAAGCTTCCAGACATCTAAGGGTCGCTATTTATCTTATCGAAATTCCTTTACTTTTTCATACTTCATTCGAATTTTTGTTTGTATTTTACTTGAAGTTTCGTGATGCCTGCTTTAAAATATATATACATATGGACATACATACATTTGCACAATACATAAAGTTCTAGTTGGAGTCACATTGTTTTTTATTGTTCATAATTTTTGTTGTTTATTATTTTTTCTTGGCTTAAGGCTGAGTGCTCTACATTATTCTAAACTTTTTCATCCCTTAATCTTATTTGCTAAACGTTGCTGTGCTGTGTAAGTATGCATGTATGTATGTGTATATTCAGTTGGTAAATCGTATCACAGCTGGGATCGAAACTAGTTTCGGTTGGGTAAACCCCATGAAATTTGCAAAGCGCATGTGTCATACTCACACAATTACATAAAAATATGCGGGAAGAGGATGCTAACTATATAATTGAAAAAAGCATTGCATTCCGATAAATAAGAATTTTGTGTACGAAATGTTTTCAATTATATATAGTCATATATACATATGTACATACATATATAAGAAAACAATGATCCCCAAAAATATTTATTTCTACTGAATTGCTACGAGCTCTAAGGGATGGCCCTTCCTCGAGTTATACATATGTAGGGTAAATGTACACATTATGTACCTTATAATTGCATTTTGAAGTCCTTTCAAGCTCAACGTGGAGCTGGTACACGTCATTTCGCCTCCAGCGCCAACATGCTTCGTCGTCTGCAAGTGAACTCAATACCTATGCAAGTATCCATAAGCAACTAAATGTGTAATTATGCCGCCTCTTACGCCACACTACATATGTACATATGTACATACATATGTATGTACTTGTTTGCCCATCCACCCACTTGCCAGCTGCCTGCTGCCTGCTGCCTGCTGCCTGCCCCACTACAGTAAAAAGTGGCAGTTACTTATACAACTTGCCACAGTGCCACACATTTTATCTCGGCAATCATGCATACAGAAAGCCAGATTCGCTTCTAACTCTGTTTGCGTAACGAGCTTTTGTTGCCGCTGACCTATGAGTATGAGTGTGTACGTGTAAGCAGGGTTGCATGCGCATATGTACCTACAATCAATTTTTTTTTATATGAAATGTGAGATTTCTGGTTCTTTTTTGCTGTTGTAAATGTTGCTGCAGCGCTTCGTTTCATTTCTTGCCAAGCAATTTGTGCAATTTCTCGATTCGTGACTTCTTGCTTTGCTCTACTTTATGCACACTACGACTCACTCACCGATTCATTGTCGTCATGCTTGTCAGTTGGTCGGTCCGTCGGTCCGTCGGTCGTTCGCTCTCGTTTGCCATGCATCTACTTCCATACAGCGCACCTCCCTTCGCCTCACGGCACCAACAACAATGTCGCTTCATTTGTGTTGATTATTTGTTTGCGCTGGAAATTGGTTTTATAAAAATACATAAGAAGAGTGCTAGAGGTAGGGAATGAAGTTGGCACTTTGGGTATCTGAGGCGTGTGGTTTGTATCGCCAACAAAGCGATTAAACTAACAAATCGCGGCAAAATCTCGCACATCGGCAATTCCGGCTGATGACGACAGTGCGCGCACGATTGAGAAGTGCCCAACTGAAGGGAGAAACACACAGAGAGCGGTAGAGTGTGGATGAACGATTCGTTCTTATTTGTTCTGCGAGTATAGCATATGTGCTGATGAAAGTTACAGTGGACGAGTTGAGTTTAGATAATTATTTATTTAAATATTATTTTTTTCAACGGCATCTAAGTCATAGATTCGTAGGTTCTCCAACTAGAGTAGGATCGTACTAAACGCACGATGATTTGCAAGTAAACGTGTACTTTTTTCAATATGCTGCTCTAACCTAAGTAATTTTTCAATTGTGCCTAAACCAGAAAAGCCAAATATGGGAATATATATTTTTAAGATTTTAAAAATCATAGATATACTTCTAAGCTTGAAGAAAAAACTAATATCCAATTTAAAATCTAATTAATAACCGGTCTCAAACTCATTTCAAATTATTAGCAAAGCCATAAAGTAAACTTTTCAAAGGTTCGAGAACGATTGGGGAGCAATTGGACTATTAATATAAGAAAATTTAAAAAACTCGCGAACAGGAATATTGTTTAATTCCAAATTGGAACAATTAAAGAATATTTTAAAGTTTGAGAAGAATCAAAGAGTAATGTTGAATACCGAATTGAGGACAATAAATAATTTATTTATAATTTATTTGCCTCTTTACAATTGACATTTTGTAGTATGAAATTCCGAGAAAGATATTTCATCTTAAAAATAAATACTCGAATGACTAAATTTCCACACTGTCCTTGTGCACCGCTCAAACCAGAGTGCAATTGTCGACAACTGCCCATTTTCCACCCTCTCACAGTTTCTCTGAGCGCCACTCACGAAGAGAACAGAAAGCATTGGTGTTCATTAAGAAAACCAAAGCAAACAAAAATATGTATCGAAAATTTTCCGTGCGTTGTGTACTCGACCAACTCAATACCTGCTCATAGTATCTCATTGCGCGCCCGTTCGCCCCACTTGTGCCATATTTCTCTTTGTTGTTTTTATAACGGCTCATAATTATATTGTAAAAAGAACGTTTCTTCTATGCTTATTGTTGTCGAATTTGTCGAGCGAGTGCGCTCGGATTTCTCATGCTCCCAACTACTCGCTACTGTTACTGCATAAAGCTCAACAACAACAAGGCGGTCGATCAGCTTTCGGCGAACAGCGAGCACCAAGAATACCAACAAAAATTGGGCTGAGTGTGTTGGAATGTGAATGAAAGTGGCGGAGCGCAGGCTGGTGGCTTGCTCCCTGCCGACCGACGACAGTGCACGACGAACGAATTGCTCGCCGCTCGCTTGCTTGCTGGCTGGCTAGCTAGCTACTTTGACAGTCAGTGAAAGCTTAATCGCTCTGTACGCGTTGAAAATTTTCAGTCGAGCGCTGATACCGAACTAGGAAGGTCGGTCTAGGCAGAGATTCTCTACTCGTCTCGCGGGCTTCTTACACAACACTTAAGCGCAGAGCAAAGAATAGAAAAAATTTTGAGAATAGAAAAAGTTATATATATATATACCGTGGTGGTGGAAAATAGTTGGAAAAATATATGTATATACTACCATATAGTATAGAAGGATACTGAAAAGTTTTTAAAAGTATAAAATATCGAGTACAAACCGCTACGCTTAAGCGGAAACAGTTTAACGACAGTATTTGAAATAAATAGAAAAAAAAATACCTTTATAAAGTATAAAGTGCAAATTAACGTTAATCACCTACATATACGTCCATCAAGGGAGTATTTCGAAACGCGCAAGGGGTACTTTGTGACCCCCGAAAAGAAACAACTGTATAATATCGAATAGAAACAGGAAAATTATTGTGTAATACCACCCCGAGTAGCTGCTACAGCAGTAAGGTACCCAGAATCATCACATATCTATTACACACATGTAAAAATGTGCCTCACCGTGTCTTTGTGAATGTCCTCGTAACGCCCTAAGGTTTTAAAACAAAATTTTAATTTTCACCAAGAGGTTTTCTAAGTATGCAGAAGAACTCTTGAAAGGTCCACCGAAAGACTTGGGTCGTGACGCAGGCGTTGGTAAAGGCGCAGGTTTGGTTGGTGGCGCCGAAGTGCTGAAGAAAATGTCCTTGCTCAAAATCGATTTTTCTCAAACTCGACACACATCTCGTCTCAGTATATGTGTGCTACGCAAAGTGCGTTTGTGTTTTTGTGTGTGTGTGCGTGTGTGCATAAAAGTTTAGCGAAGAGTGAAAAATTTTTATTTAAGAAATATATAAATATTATTTTTTTTTTTGTAACTAAAAACCTGCAAGACTCGCTGAAGACTGATAAATTATTGTATATTAAATATCACATGGATAGCGAAAAGTGTACCATTAACGGTTTGAGAAAAACAAAATCAATCGATAGAAAAAGTGCGCAAGAAGAACGAACGAACGGATAGTAGTGTAAGAAAAGTGAGCAGCGTGCTAGGAACAGACGGACATATGCATATATTATATGTGTGTATGTATGTGAATTTGCGGTGAGCTTTAGCATTGGTATGGGCGTGTGTTTGTTGCATTTATTGAAGGAGGAGAAAATTCAGTAAAGCAGGGCACAGAGCACATTTCATACCCGATTTGCGTATATGAAGGAGGGCGCGCTCCAAAGCGCCGCCAAAGGAACCGAAACGAAGGCAATGTCGATTATGATGTTACTCATACGTCGTGTGGGCCGTCTGCTTAGAGCCCAACTAAACTGGGCGTGCAAAAGAGGGCATGGCTTGTTCGTATGCCACCATAGGTTGCACAACAGTTTCGATTTTTCACAGAGCATGTGTTTGAGCGTATTTTATTTTATAAGCTGGCGGAAGTTAAATAATTTCGGTACATTTCTATTTATTTCCATTTCTTTGGAACTTTTTAATATTTTTTCTGCTTACTTAGTTTCGGAAATTGCTTGCTTTTATCTGCTTACCAAAGCGCCTTCAATATTTGAAATGATATAATCAATCATTACAATGGCTTATCACGAGATAGAAAAGTTGATTCATAAAGTTATCTATATTTTTTGGTGCCAGAAATATGTCGCAAATTTTAATGCCTGCTGTTTGGAACTAAAAAGTATTAATAGTTAAATCAAAGAATTTGAAGGGAATTCGGTTATTCAAACCGTTGGTGTTAATTTCCTCTGAGTCAAATAGGCTTCGACTCAACCCAACCAACCTTTCATTAGTAAAAGTAAATTTAAACCTTATTTTATATACAATAAAAAAATTACTAGATATAATAATAAAAAAGAAAAAATTAAGTAAATTATCGATTTAAACATTAAAAATTTGAATAAAATAAAGACTTTTTACTACGTTCTTTTCAAAATTTTTTTCTTTTCGAAAAATACAATTCTAAAATAAAGCTTTATAAAGTTTTCTTTAGCTCCCAATCAAGCAAAAAGCTTTTACCACAGAGCGCGCTTTTTAAGCTACTCTTTGCCGCATAACAACACTCGGCAAAGAGCGCATTCCTTTACAAAAGCACGAGAGCAATGTCTGAACAGGCTTTCTTGTTGGCATTTTCCTATCTATGGAAAGTCGGCAATATTCCAAATTCCATGCGCAACTGCTGGTTTTCCAATTTTGGAACGGCGCTCACTTACATTTCTTGCTTACTCCAGTTTCTCACGCAAACCAAAATTATATTGAAATTTCTACCAACGAATCCTTGCTGTGTCAGAATTGACTATGCACTGTGCAGCCTTAAATGCTTAAATTTGCAAAACTCACTTGATAAAAATGTATACACATTTGTACATATTTGCATGCCAGCGATTGCATAATCCACATGACCCGCTTTCACATACATATATAGACATACATGCATACTTAAAAATATGCAAATTTAACAAAAAAGGATACACCGGCGGCATTTCGGGATTAATTGTGTTATTTTCTATTTAAATTTTTTTCCCCCAACAATATTTATGTATTTTTTTCATTTTCCGGCTTTGCTAGCTTTGGTCACAGATTTTTCGCTATAAAATTTTCCATCTAAAAACGGCAAAAGCCACAACATGAGTAACTCTCAGGTGGGTAAATTTGAAAAAAGGCTCAGTTTAAGTACTTTCTTACATACATACATACAATATATAATGGTATACACTTAAGTGTTACCATATAGTCTTACAATCAATTTTTATATGCAATTTTTAGTTTTATGCATTTTTTTACTCTACATATTTACAAACGAGTATTTATATTCATAAGCGTATGTGCACGTACAAATGTATGTATCTAAAACATGTGCCTACCGTTGCATTCTGTTGCAAAAGTATAATATTTTTATTATTTATTATCAGTTCGTCAAGTAAATATTTACGCTCATGAAATATTAGTTGTTTATAAGAGCTTAACACATACACGTTTAGTTGCTAAGTTGTTGAGTGGAAAAGATTAAATAATGAAAATAATTAAAGTGAAATTAGAGATGACGACAGGCACACAGTTAGTACCAGGGAAATTGCAATTAAATGTCCAGAGAAATTATAGCTATAAAAGGGCTTTTAAGAAGCGAAAGAAATTGAATATAAACACTTGTTCAAGACTAGGTTGGCTAAACCATCATTTATTCAATCAGTTAATATCTTTTTTTTTCAAAAATTGTAATTCTATTTCGCCCTACTCTTACGTAAATCCAAAATGCTGTAAACTTTGATTATGTAATCTACATATATATGTCGATGATTCATAAAGACAAAAAATGCTGAGGGCTTCAACATTTCTTGATCAATTTCATAATAGTTGATTTTAAACTTAATAAAAGTTGAAAAAAAAAACAAAAATGAGTTTAAAAAGTAAAACAAAATTTAATAGTAAAATTATTTTTTTTTAATATAAAATGGAATAAATATTATTGAGAACAAAAATAAAAATTTGAGAAATAATTCCAACTAAATTTTTCAAAAATTAGATAAAAGCAATTAAAGTAAACTGAATTGAGTTATAATAAATAAGCAAATGAAATAAGATAAATAAATAAATAAGTAATGCAAATAAAAAATAATAAAAAAAATAAAATATATTATATAACATAATATAATATAATGTAATAAAATATAATATAATATAATATATTATAATATAATATAATATAATATAATATAATATAATATAATATAGTATAATATAATATAATATAATATAATATAATATAATATAATATAATATAATATAATATAATATAATATAATATAATATTATATAATATAATATAATATAATATAATAAAACAAAATAATAAATAAAATTAAATAAAAAATGAATTATTAAAAATTAATTAAAACGATAAAATCAAGTTATATAATAAATAAAATACAATGAAATCAAACTAAATAAGTAAATAATAATGAATAAAATACGACACACTAAAAAAGTAAAATAAAATAAAACCAAAAATAGAAAAATAAAACAAAATATAAAGAAATAAAATATAATAACAGAATAAAACATAAAAAGAGAAATAGAATATTAAATAAACAAAACACAATTAAAATTATTAAATTATAATAGAAAATATTTCGTATTTCGCAAAAGAAGGGTATATTTTTGTTGAAATAATATTTAGTTTTTATGTGAATTTAGAATGACATTTTCAAGTTTCTTTTAAAAATTTTATAGTCCTTTAGGCCTGCATACATATATGATCATCATTAGCTGAATTAAACTCAATCTTGAAATTCGTTCATATTTTATTGCTGCATAGTTTCACTCCTAAATTAATGTGCATTTTTATTTGAGTTGCAAATTTGTTTACTTCCCGTTGAGCTAAATAGTTGACTTTTAGCATATAAAATAAAAAAGTTTTATAATTATAAAACTGCATCCACACAAGTGAGTGCGTTAACTGTCTTAAAGAGTTATTTTAACTTACATATATTTTATTATATTACATGTAAAAGTTTAAAAAAAAAATGACAGTATTAATGTACTGGAAGTTGAAAGCGCTAATTTCGTTCAGATTGAAAGGGAAGGCACAAAACAAACTTCATAATTCTAAAATTGAAATTCACAAATTTTCGGTTATTCTTAACACATTTAAAAATTAAATTAGTTTTGTAGTATCTCAAAAACTCTTACACAGCGTCAGTAACTACTTGCCCGACTACTTGAAAAACTTGTTAGTGTAATTTTTTTTTAGGTTTTTATTTCTAACGAAGAAATGAAGGTTCTTCCCTTTGTAACTACGCATGAGATCACCTGTAGATCACAAGATCATCTCAATACAAAAACCATCAGGCAGACGTCACTAATTGATATGCAAATAAATGCGATAAGAAAAGCCTATAGAACTGGTATTCACACACATATGTATGTATGTACGAGTATAAATTTATTTGCGCCAACAATATTTAGATAAAATTCAATATTTCACACTCACATACTAACTGTATGTACCTATAACACAGGCCCCTTCAGCGTTTGTTCGTTCGACATTGGCGTGTGGTGATTTTATTTCTCACAGTGAGCCGCATAAATCCAGTTTTCAAAAGCGGTTACTACTTTACGAGCTTTGTGTAGTATTTCTTCAGCTTTGTGCTGTCTATGCTTACACCTGGCACATATATTTAGATAATTTACTTACTACTTATGCATGCCTGGAAATTTGTTCTACTGAGCATTGTATTGTTTATTGTCCGACTATTTGTGTGTGTTGTATTTTTTTTTTAAATAAAGTGTCTTTTTTAAGTTTCTCGCACGTTTAAATCTCTGTCAAATGACTGGTTGGGGCTTTTCATTTTGTTTTGATTGCCGCATTTCGTACATATTACTATACTATCGTCAATGGTTCGCAGTCACGTTCATATCTCTTTTATTCCGCTTCATACGCACAGTTTGGTTTCGAACCAGTTCGAACCGGTTGCAGTTTCGAAAAATCAAATGGCACACATTTCATCGTTGTTATCGGTTATTAGCTCGACAAATTTGTTTTGTGATTTTATTGCTATTTATTTCTACTTTTTCTGTGGGGTATTCTCGTCTTCGATGACACATTCGCGCTTTTTAATGCTTGTTTTTTGTTTTATTAATTATTTTGGTGTACGATATCTATTTTTATATGTTCGTATTCTCATTTTAGTACTATTGCACTCGTTCCTTGGTATGTTAGTATTTCGTTCGGGCTTTGTTTACAAACAAGAATTTTATTTTTATTTTAGTCAACGAAAGTGACGCCGAGTCGAAATTGAGAAAAGACATGTGCGAATACGTACCAATATATGACGGCGTGCTGTCTTGGCGATGATCAAAAAACGGATTACGGTACGCGTACTTTTGCGTGTGTAATATTTCGTACCACATTTTTTTTTTTGTAATTTATTTTTGTATAATTCCTTGAACTTGTGCGCCCGTTTTGTTTTGTAGATTTGTTTAATTATTTCGTACTTCTATTCATGAATACCTGTGAGTATGCATGTATGTGTAGATATTGGTAAAGTACCAAAAGAACTTGTTCAGAGCAAAAAAAATAATTTTTTTTTGACAGGTTTTTTATTATGTTTTCTTGAATTTTAAACGTGACTTTTTTGCTTCTTCTTTCTATTTCCATTTTATTTCATAATTTCTGTACGTCACGCTTTCGTTTATTTTGTTTTTCGATCATAATTCTTTTTGCGCTTTGGCGTCATTATTTATATCTATCTAACAGCACCTTCTGTTTACCAGATTCGAAATATATTCATAGATATTTATGTATGTGTCACATATGTAAATGCATGCGTCATCGACTGTTTTCTGCAAATTTATTTCAATTCGATTTCACAATGTGTAGCCATGCAGTTTTATTAGTTAAATACATATATACATACAAACGGGCATATGTATGTATGTTAGAATCTCTTAGAAATTAAAAATTTATACGCAATTTAATGGACAGGCACTAAATTTACATTGACGTTTTTAACTAAATACACAGACATACATACATTTGTGTGTGTACATTAAATCTCATTGTAACAGAAAAATGCTGACGATAGAAAAATAATAAAAAAATATTGAAAGTAAGAAATAAAAATATATAAAACATTAAAAAGTAAAAAAAGTTAAATGAAATATAAAGAAAAAAATATATAAAAAATAAGGAATAGAAGTTAAAAAAAATACAAATAAAATATAATAATTTAAACAAATTCACAAAAAATAAAAGCACGTTTATTAAAAAAAAATAAAAAAAAAGTTTAAAAAAATAAGTAAAAAATTAAAAAAAATTAAAAAAAAATTAAAAAAATTTAAAAAAAATAAAAAAAATAGTAAAAAATTAAAAAAAAATTAGTCAAATATTAATAAAAATTAAGAATATACTTAAAAAAATAAAAATCATAAAAAAGTAAATAAAATAAAATTAAAGAAGGAAATAAAATTAATAAAAGTGAAAAAACAAAAGAAATATAGTTAATAAAAACAAAATTATGTATAAAATAAAACAAAATAAAATGTAACATAATATAATATAATATAATATAATATATAATATAATATAATATAATATAATTCAATACAATATAATATAATAAAATAAAAGAATGAAAATATAAAATGAATTAAAGTTAAATAAAATCACTAAAGAGTTAAAAAAATAAAGTAAACTAAAAAATCCATAAAAAATAAAACTAAATAAAAAATAAGGAAAAAAAATAAAATAAAAAATAAATAACATATAAAAATTATAATAAGTGAAATAAGAACTATGATAAAGTTAAACAAAAAAGGAAAATCAAATATAAATATACATAAATTATAAATATATAAAAGACATATAAATTATTTAAATGAAAGGAATTTCAATGACAGCAAATGAATGGAATGAAATATGGATATAAAATGAATTCTATTGTAGAAATTAAATTAAATAATTGTGTTCAAATTGATTTTTTTTCGTGTTAAGAATTACCCCTGTCGTTATTGTTAAGTTCAAGCGCGCTTTAGGCTGATTACAGCTCATTCAAAACCTTTTGTTTACCATTAAATTTTCAAACAACAATTGCAAAATGTGCAGAATATGCTATTCCACATTATATACATAAGTATATAACAC